CTGGGGAAGGGGCCAAAGCACCCACAGCACCCACATCCTGCCCTGGATGGGCAGTAGGAGCCTGGAGCAATAGAATCACATAGTCCCAGAATGGTTTGGGTTGGAAGGGACCTTAAAACTCATCTCATCCCACCCCCTGCCATGGGCAGGGACACCTTCCACCAGCCCAGGTTGCTCCAAGCCCCGTCCAACCTGGCCTTGGGTACTCCCAGGGATGGGGCAGCCACAGCTTCTGTGCCCAACCTGTGCCAGGGCCTGCCCACCCTCCCAGCCAAGAATTCCTTCCCATTCTTCCATCTAACCCTGCCCTCTGACACTTTGAAGCCATTCCCTGTGTCCTGTCCCTCCATCCCTTATCCCAGGTCCCTCTCCAGCTCTCCTGGAGCCCCTTTAGGCCCTGCAAGGGGCTCTCAGCTCTCCCTGGATCCTTCTCTTCTCCAGGTGAGCACCCCCAGCTCTCCCAGCCTGGCTCCAGAGCAGGGGGGCTCTCCCTCTTCCAGGTGTGAGATGTTTCCAAACCTCAGCCCCAGCAGCTTCACCAGAATCACTGGGTCACCAGGTCTTCCCCAAACAGTCTGGGGCTCATTAACACCAGGACAGATGAAACTCTTGCTCCCTGGGGTTGTCAGCATAGCAAGGAAGACCCGGTGATGTTATGATTTCGTTTCCAGGCACGCTTTGTGGGGAGGGAGAAAAAAAGGGGTGTTGAAAACCTCTTGGTTGAATATCAGCCTTCCCTGCTTTGCTCTGCAAACACTTCTCTGTTCCCTGCCAAGGAAAGAGGAATTGGACTCAGCTCTGTCCCAGGGAGTGAAGCAGTGGGCACTGGGGACCAGAGGAGTGAGTGAAGGAGCACAACCTTCTGGAGACACTCCCGGGGCACAAAAGCAAATTCAAAAACCTGGAGAGCTGCACGTTCTGCATCAGGGCCAAAGCCACCCTGCCAGCAGAACAGGACTGTGCCTGTGGCAGCAACGTGTTTAATGGCTTTACTATTATTCTCTGAGCAGTCCCAGGATGCTCCCAGCACGTGCAGGAGAGCAGAGCCCCCCTGGGAATGTGACTAACAGGTTGTTACTGTTTTTTTTTAAGTGGCTCCTGCAGGAACTTTCTCGTTTTGCTCGCTGAATTCGGCAGCTGAAAGAAACATATGGCCCATATATTTCACCACAATGGGGCCAGAACAGCTGGTTTTACAGTATTTGTGGAATCATTTAGGTTGGGAAAGCCTTCTGAGACCGTTGAGTTCAACTGTTCCCCCAGCACTGCCAAGGCCACCGCTGCCCCATGTCCCCAAGTGCCACATCCACATGTCTGTTAAACCCCTCCAGGGATGGTGATTCCACCACCTTGAGGCACATCAATAAAACGAGACTCTTGGACAATATATGGCCCTGGCCATTCCAGGTTAGCCCAGCCCAACCTTCTCAATCGTTTATTTTATTTTGTTATTCAGATTATTTGTATTTAATTTACCTCAACAGAGTTAAACTGGTGCTTTTGCCTGAAACACTCTCATTTTTCCATGTCTCCCTTGTAGCCTCAATGGGTTTATTATCTCCTTTTTGATGAGATGGGACAGTCTCCTCCATAAAATGTTTAAAAAGGCTCAAATGATTCTCAGAATGATGATGGAATTTGCATTATCATCAGAACAGCACAGAAATACTTTCTGCCTTTATTTTCATCCGGGAATCCCTGAAATAACCGAGGAGCCACCAAATTACTTTTCTGACTCCAGACAGGCACTTATCAGGGGAAACAACACAAGACCCACAGAAAGCCTTAATAATTCTCTATTCCTTGATCCTTAAAAGGATTTTATTTACTGGGATATGGCAGCTACAGCCCCCAGTGTGGCAGCACAGGGGGAAGGGCTGGCAACCTCTACATCAGAACCATCAGAAACAGGTAAATCCATCTGACATCTGCTTGAATCCAGAACAACTCTCTGTTTCCTTGGATAAACTCCTTATAACTGGAATCTTACTGGGAAGTGGAACTCAAACACCTGGCAACCACCATCCCCAGGACCTTCTGATGAGCCATCCCACCTGCACACAGTGGCCAATGTGTATCTGACCTATTTCTAAGACCTTTTCCAAGGTCAGTCCCACTCTGCCTCTTACTTTCTTCCCAGTTAACTTGATTTTTATCTGGAAACATCCTTAAGCCTCAGTTTTTATGTGGATTTTGGTGCCTGACTGGAAAAATACTGGCCAAGGTGTATCTGGGACCAATGGGTCGTGAGCTGTTGGTCACTAATAGGACACTTGCACAGAGGCTGATTTTTGGAGCTCAAGAATATTTAAAAATCTACTTTCTATGTAGCCTTACAAGGTAGATTTCTAAGGATTTTGGCTCTCAAAATCACCAATGGTTTTCAAACCTTGTCCAGAACAGGTAGCAGGTGAATGTGCAAACATATGGGTCAGAAACACAAGCTTGGGAAAGTTACCTGGGGGAGAGAGGGATTATTTGTTCAAAAGGATGTTTTTTAGATATTTCTAAAGAATCCAGCATGTGAAAAAGAAGAGGGCATATGCCCATCACTTGTGCCTGAGACACCCATCTGACTGTTCCTGCTAAGAAGCCAACCTTCAACGAAATGCCCCCAAACCCAGCAGATGGGGTGAATTACTGATTGTGAGACGACTCATTCCACAATGAGACTGAAAAAATCCCACAAACAAACAAAGAAGGAGAGCCACCAGAAGAGCTTGGTTTGGAGAGGGATCTCTCCAGACCCACGATGATGAGCAGTAATTATTTCACATGCAGAGAAGCTCTGTGGCCCATTTAAAGCCTTTCATTTCCATTCCCTTGTTTAAGTGAGATTATTGCTCCCTGTAGCCAACAACAATAGATTTCTTCAGTTTCCTCTGCCTTGCCAGCAAAGCAAATATCCTCTGGTAAATCTAGGAGCTGAACAATGATTTTTCATTTTTACAACAGCACAATCAATGCAATTTTCCAGGTATAACTCTCCAGCCTCCCCCTATCAGCTCGTTAACGCACAAGTGCCGTACTCCAAACCGTGCCTGGAAGAATCTCCACAGACTCTGCCATCCCAGGTTGCTTCTGAACACTGAATTCATTGCTTATGAATCACTTCAGTGTGTGCAAACACTCGAATCACTAAGCCATATCTAATATTGTACATAGTAATCAAGTGATGTTGTCACCGTGG